AGCTTCTGAATCGACAGCAGCCTTGTGAATGTGGGTGTCTATTAAATTGAGCCCAAGGAAAATAAGCTTACGCTGTATTAAATTTAAGCGGAAAATTCAAACTGTATCTTTTCTGTCAAAATCCCCACCAGAACGAGTTTTTCCCGCGCAGTTTGTGAATATCGAGTTTCGCGAAAACAAAAACTAAACTAATTCCACAACCACATTTCCAAATTGCTCAATTTCCCGTACGCATTCGACAAAAAAAACCTTAATTCCAGTTGGAGATTTTTTGAATTTTTCTCATCTCTCTCTCTCGAGAGCTTTTGTGCCATTGATGCCGAATCTCTCATTCCACTGATAAAAAGCTCTGCGAATGGCTGAATATAATTCATCAAGCACGCGAAGCTTCTGAATTTGTCTATTTTCTCATCGCGCGGCGAGAAAAAACACCACAAAACAATACGCAAATGGAAATTGTGCAGCTTTTCGTACACAGAGTCTGTTTGGGACTGAGGAAAAAGTGTGTTGAAATTGGTGTGGAACATGATTGTGAGGAGAGAGAGAGAGGTATAATCCTAAATATCTTGAGAGCAGTGGCGAAATTCAGCACAAATATTTACGGGGGCAAACCGCACAATTTTCCCAACCGAGCATAATTCAAGTATTCAAATTTATTCAGTGGCACAGACGGTTTGGATTTCAATATTATCCACCCATTTCACCCGTTGGCATATTATTAGTTCCTCTGGGTTTTTCCCAGTCGCCCCCGCAACCCACCAAAGCTCAGGGGCTCACGCGTGGGCGGGATGAGTGAATGAAATAAGACGGAAAAATACCGCAAAATCTCCGGGTTAAAACTCCATCCATGCAAAAACATAAGACTGTGGAGAATTAATTCACTGAGGAGTGATGAGGAAAAAGTGTCTTGAACTCCGTGAACCCTCCTTACTCTACCCTTTCAGGCTGATTGTGATGATAATACTTCTTATGTGTATTTGTGTCGTCTCCAAAGACGAGAAAATTACCCAGTGCGGAAATCATGCATAAATCGCCACTCCTCTGAAAAGCTGCATTTATGTACAGTGAAACAGTGTGACTGGGAGAAATTTCATTAAATTACTCTAATTGTCATCGTCGGTGAGTGAACGGATGTTTCTCATTGTGTTCATTCACATATATCGGAGGTCGTTCTTCTCCCCTTGACTCTTTTTGTGCGCTCCCCGGACATTGAATTCGATTAAAATTTCGCTGAAACTAAATCAAGCACGACATTGATGGAGAGGCAGGCGCTCAGAGACAGACACCCAAGCGAAGGGCCTTATCCTATTCGCCCAACTTTCATATGCAAGAATCGCATGGAGAGAAACGTTTGAGCTTCATGCGAGAGGACACTTGCGAGGGGCGGTCAATTTTCCAAACAGGGGACACTTTTCACGAGGGAAATTCCACTAAACATCCACAGAGGGGGAAAGCGCCCATGAAAGCATACAAACATGTAAAACATAATGGATCTATTATAATCAATGATGCAATTAATTTCGCTTCTTTCTCTTAATTGTGTTAAAAACCAAGTCAGCTATAAATTGAATAGTTCTGCCAAAAGGAGTGCAAAAAACTCCATCGTTTGCTATTTTTTCGAGTCGGTAGAGCTCATAAAATTCCATTCCATACAAACATTTGTATTCATTATTTCGAAATTGTTTTCTTCAGACAATTTTGATGGGTGAATGAATTTGAAAAATTCCCTCAGTGCACTCGAAACCTCCAATTTGTGTTTGGCAATTTTACCGGAGAGTTTTCTGATGGTATTGGAATTAAATGGAAGCTCTGCACTGAATAACTATGTGTCACTCACTTTGTTTCAGTGGTTGAATGCAAAGCGTGGTCCCGGTTTAGCACTTGTCAATTATTATACTGGTGTTTGCAAAGTACCTGATCAGATCCACAGGGCTGGGTGGGTAATTGGGCACGTTCCACACCCCGATATATAAATTTTCGCAACACTTGATACGTGATCGAACGTTTAATTACGGCATCGTGTGCTATTAATTGCATATTATTGTCACATGGATGTGATTTATTGCTGGAATTGGTACAATTTGTGTTTTTGCTCATCTATGCAATTATCACCTCTCTAGTGCGCTAATGTTCGCGCCGCGAATTGCATCGTCTTGGCATTACTTCTGCATCCCATGAAATCCACAAGATGCGAGGAACTCGCGGAGGAATGTGGAATTAAAGAAGACACCACGCACGGTGGAATGATAAATGTTCAGTGAGATGCGATGTAATTAAAAATAAAAAGAGGCATTCGGTGAAGTCGTGCGGTGGCTCACAGGATCCCTCTGGAGCACACTTCAAATAAGACCCATGCTGACTCGTGACGCAGTCCAATGAAGAACGAGATGCTACCTCATTTAGCCGAGTCTCTCGGTCGCCTTAAATTCTTTATTTGCAGCAATTAGGCATGACAAGTTGAGAGGCGCTGCTCCCCGTGTCGCCCATCTGTGAAGACACACTCAACTGCAGAGATCCCCGGAGGATTATTTCAATTACCCTGCAAATCATCCCACAGTTCTATGTCAAATTAACATATGGTGCAATATTTTACATATCGCCTCCGTGAGTTGCTCCGGATCAGCCGCATGGCTCTTGGCTGGCATTAGCAAGAGGAACGCAGTCCTAATGACAATTATCGTGGAAGAATAAATGCACTGGCACGTAATCTTCACTCCTAAATCCACGATTGCAGACATAATCTCCGTTTGATTTTGATAAATTACTCCCTGACACGCTAAGAATGCCGTCCGGTGTGAAAAACCCACTTGCGAGAATATCTGTTCACGAAACTTTACAGAAAAGTTTATGGTTTTTCGCGATTTCAACATGTGCAGTTATTTGTGCAGTCGTGAGAGAAATCCCCAGTAATTTGGGGATAATTTGAAAATGATGTTATAAAGCTTCAAAAAAGAAGGAGTACAAAAATACGCAGAAATGAACATTTTCAGCTGGCGTACGCTTAACATTAAGCAAACCACATATAAAGTCGATAAAAGCGTATATAGAAAAAATCAACATTTCTCCCCACATAATATAAAATTCATTTGAGCAATTCTGGTGAGAGCACAAAAAGCCTGAAGCATGTAAATTCACCATTACAGCGGATAACTAAATCAAAGGAGAATTGAAGCATGATATGATAAACATATTTTGTCAAGACGAATTTGAAAATCATCTTCATATTCACATTTTGCAGAGGGCGGAACCTCTAATTCATTCCCCCTTCGACCTGTGCATTGGCTGTGGATGGAAATTGCCAAAGGGTGGTTTGAGGGAGTTTTACATACAGAACGCCGGGGAAGGTTCTCCATCTGGGGTGATGAGTGTGTAAAGCTCCCACTGCTGGAGTGGGTTGGGTTGGGATGTACAATAATAAGCTCCGTCGTCGTCGGTAGAAAATTCACCAAACAAGAGATAGGAGATCTTGAGTAGATTTAATGTGAACACATGCACGTGTAATCAATTTTGATACGGCGGAATGGAATAATTCTTCAAAAGTCGTCTGTCTTCTCGTTTTGGGAAAGGTAAAAAGACATTGATTTGCCGTGGTGAAGGCTTGTGTAAACTATTGCGGTGTATGTTTATCAAGGGTGTAGAATGCCTTTCAGTATAATGAGGCAAATACCTGCAAGCCCAAACCCTCAGTGTGCACAAGGAATGTCTGAGTGGAATTTTGCTTGTAATTAGTTCTAATTAAATTTATTTCCTTACGCAGAGCCCGTATATATATAAAATTGTGTCAGATTTTCACCCCCACGTCGTCATTCTGGGGGAAATTCCCAGTGTACCCAATTCATTTTCCACCCAACTTGCCCATCGATCCTCCTCGAGCACGAGAGGGACAAGCATTTGGAGAAGGGTGGTTCTTATCCTCTTGGGCGAAAGTGTCTTCTGTGGGAGTTTCCACGCTCTTGTGTGATATGTATTGGACCCCAAAAAGACAATGTGCAGGAGAGGAAACTTGATTCAAAGCCGGAAGATCAATAGACATTGATGACAGGGGTACGATACAGTGAAATAAGCTTTCATCCCCTCGGCTTTCATCTTGTACACACTGTGTTTGAAACATATCTTGGGAAAAGAGTCCCAATCTCTCGCTCTCCTTCTCCTGAGGAATACGATAGACATGGGGATTGTCTTTTCATTTAATTTACAGCCCGTGCGGACGAAGGGACCACTGGGGAGATGGCGAGCTCAAAATAAAAGTGGAGGAATTTTTGCTTAGAAAAATTCCTGAAACAATAAATTACAGCAGGGTCAGCATGGTCTTTTAATTATTAGCTTGTTGCATGAATGGTGTAGAGCAGCAGGGAAGATTTCTAGCTATTGTCCCTACTTAGGAGTATATAAGTTTGAATGTATGTGGAACAATTCGCCCTTTTCTCAATGTCATTGTGAAATATTTTGATGCTTTGCAGCAATAGAAGAGAATTTTGGGATTAAAGCTTCGGGAAAACAAATTCCAGCAATCGGAAATGGATGAACTCAGATATCAAACAAAAGGAGAATTCCGTTGCTTGAATGAAAGTGTATGTTCTGGCGAGTGTATCGATTCATAGGAACTCAGTGGAGCATGGAAAGCCTCGGCCGAAGGTTGAGATTGAGCAATTCAGAGAGCGAAAAATACCCCAGTTGAACCTTCTTGGCCCCTGAGGACCTTCGGGGATATTTTGTATTTTTTCCCCATCATTTTTCCGAGCTTCTGTGAGGGAGGGTGAAAAGCCCAGGGAATGAGGGTGAAAAACAGAGAATATCCTGAGCTAATTTTTTCCATTGTCGCTTAATGCCACACGCCCTTTTTTCCTTTGGCGCAGAGCCTGAGAAAGTGGCTCCGAGGCAACTTATCTCCCTGCTTTCCTCCCTGTTAGATGGGAAATTATATATGTTGGAAAAACATTGCCTCTATCGGTTTGGGATGCCGCTCATGTGAGTTGATGAGTGTTGGGGAAACGGCATAGCAGTATGGTTCTCCACACCAACACCAACTTCTCATGTGAGAATCAGTCGACAAGAGTCGTCTTTTGGGTGACTTTCCCTCGTGAACATGATGGCAGTCCACAGTCGACCACATCGCTTCACGCGCTGATAATGAGATTTCTCTCGGCGGATGCTTTGGGACTCTCAGACGCGATTCTGACTGCCATCGAGTTCAGTACTCTGCTGAGTTTTGCCACTGTCGTATCCTTCGCTCGCGATTGTCACATCGCGACAACGTGCGTGCATCCCAGCGAAAGCTCAGGCGAAAGCTCACAAGGTCGAGTCACATTTTTTCACACGCGGAAGATTGCATTGCAGTGATTGTGCGGGGGGAGCGCAAAAAAAAGTAAAATTCCCACTTCAGCTTGCTGGCATTTTTTGCCATTCTCCACTGTCGTGGAGCAGGGGAAGCGGAAGGCGTGAGTGTGTGAAACTCATGGTGAAAAGTTGAGAGGGAAATTGTCGCAGTTCTTTTCAAATTCAGCGGAAACTTGCCGGAAAGGAGCTCAACAGTCAGTGTTTCTAATTGAACAGCCATTCGAGGAGTGTGCCTGAAGAAGTGAGCTTTTGCGCGGCCTGAGCTTTTCACGTGGGCGCGGAGCATGAGTGGCATCTGAATGTGTCAATAGAGGCTTCGCTCCGTGGCAGAAATGATGAATGTGAGGAATCGCTGGTGACTCTCACGTGAAATCATCAAGAAGACGCCATAGTGCGGTGAAAATGGGGAAATCTGACAAGGTCCCCGAGGAGCGCGCCACGTCGAGTTCATCTCTTGTGAATTGTGTGCTCTGTGTGCTGTGCATTTCCTCAATCGGTGCGTCCCTCTACTCAAATGTACGACAGAACTACATCGAAGACAGGATACGGCATCTGCGGCACTTGGACGACAGGATATCTGTGCTTGAGTCCAAGTTCCAAGACCTGCCTCAGGTTTTTGGCGACCCCGATGCAGATGTTGCGAGTGTCGTTCGGAAATTGTCACTTCAGGTGGCCGGTATTCAGAGATTGCGGAGAGACGTCTCCCAGCTGCAAGTCACTAGACATACCAGACAGGCATCTGTTACGGGCGGGGAGTGCATCTGTCCGGCAGGTAAGACTCACCATTCGGATATTTACACCAATTTTCCGCTCCATCGACAACGATTTGCACCTATTGTGTGCGACACGACCAAATGGTATTCCATTGACATTCCTTTGCATCACAACTGAGATCGTGTTGCTGTGCCATTTGTTGGTGTCATTTGATTAGAATCTGGTATGGAAAAATCTGAAAACCTCTAATCCCAGAGTGTCTAATCCAAGAGGAAGAAAAAAAAATCCAAAATCCCACCACATTTTCAGGGGATTCCTTTTGTCCCTCATTCCTTCTTCGACGCATTTTCTCATCAGACAATCACCGGGTGAGGATGGGAAAAGAAGCTGCCAAGGAGATTCTTTCATTGTTATGGCCTTCCCCATAATGGCACAGCTGAAGAGGAAATTTTCCTTCTCCCTCATTTCGACAAATTCCCACGAAGATTGCCATTGGACCGAGATTTTATGACACGTTAATCTCAATCACATTTTTCACCCCATTCGACAGCGATGGGCAAGCTGAGGATATTCATGAACTATTTCACTTGGAAAGTACATCTTTTGAGATGTCCCAGCGGGATTCTAGAGTAAATCCACTGCAAACCCATGGGATGGAAGGTCTCTGGGCACTTCAAGAGGGAGAATAGCGTGAAATTTCTGGAAAAAATGCACTCTAAATGCAAATTTTGAATTGCATATTGAAGACATTGTGGTTTCCCAAAGAGTTCTTATTAAATCTGTCGTGCCTTTCCAAACACATCAAAGCCGCAACGTCATTTGCAAACAAAGAAAATTATTAATCAGCCAGAATTCCAAAGGTACACTTTTCGAATATCACGCAGAGTGTGAGACTTTGCTGTGCTCATAACGAATGTCCAAACTATATGTTTTCTGTCTGTAAATCAATTTGATTTTCTATACACGCACAAATAACACAATTATAATTTCGCAATTCAACGCGCGCCTGTCGACAAAGAATTATTGCACTTCAAATATTGGGAGATGATGATTTATTGCAAGCCTCAATTGCTCTCGTGAAAATCCCTCGGGGGATGACTTTTATGCCCCGGCCCTTGATTGAAAGCCGAGGAGTGGAAGTGCATGAAAAGTCTTGCAGGACCCCCAAGGTGTGCTCCCTAATGTGCCAATGAATGTTGTACACGAGTGTGTGCTCCGTATGCCAAATGAATATTAAATGTGCTGAATTTCCGAGGGGGTGGCGCACGAAAAAACAACGCCTGATGATGCACTCTCGAGCCTCGTCAATGCCTTTGTTCACCCCCCAGAAGCGGCTCCCCTCGAGACACCTCTCGAATGTCTGACTGTTTGGCTTGATGTGCTGCTCGCATTTGTGGACCACGTGCTGAGAATCAAGTGCTATCTTCTCCCCCAATGCCACGAAGAAGCACTTTTCTTGGCTGAGAAGGTGGGGCGGGGCAGGAGAATATGAAATACAGACAGTATGACGATTTTCCGTGCAGAGACACAACAGAACGAGGGTGGAAGAATTTGCACTTTTTCATTTTATTCCTTCCTACTTCACACTCGGAAGACTCGCAAGAGAGTCGATGCACTGAGAGAAAATCGCTTAGGAAGATTACGGAAAGCACGACGATAAAATATATTTGCAGTTTCTCATAAAACTTTTGAGCTTCAAACAGCACCGAAGATGAAATCAAATATTATCTCGCATGAGCGCGATGTGGAAGTGTAAAGAGCCTTAATTTTTGCAAACAGCCCTAACAACTTTTTCTCAGTGTTGTCGTCACCTTCAGCTTGCTTCTCCGTGCGGCACAGAAGAAAGTGAATGTAGAAAAAGGCAAGGGAAAAAATGATTTATTGACAGTGGAGACTGGCGATGAATAAGAAAATTTAGAGAAATGAAATTAGGGTGAATTCACACATTTCATGGGCCAATCGTTTTTATTTTCCACCCCAGAGACAATCTCACGAATTCTGCGGTGTCTCATGGTGGTTTGAGGAGATTTACCTCCGCCACACCCCACACGATCCGCGCTCGCGGGAATGAGAAGTCATCATTTGAGACAAGACATCTCGCGCTATGATGAATGTCGTGTGATATAAAATATGTAAATGTCGAGCTTATGACATTCCTTTTGCGATACATCCACAATTTGGGAGCTTTAAGCACTGTCACATTTCCATCCATTTTCCCACCCATCAAACGGGAATGCGAAGGAGTTTCTCTGAGATGGAGTTTTGCTTTTTATTGAATTCCATCGACGACAAAGATGGCACATGCTCCAAGTTTTCCGAAGGGGTGGATGGAATAAATGCTGAAGGATGAAAAACTGAGCGTGATTGTGATGATTTATTCCATCTTGAGCTTTCCAACCTAAACCCCACTTCTCAGAATCCCTTTGACCACACTTGCGACGAACTTGTGGATGAAACAAACACAAAGCATAAGGAGGAACTTTGCAGATTCAACTGAAATTTGGACTTTCAGAACATCTGGACAACATCATCCCATCTGAGCGAGATGATCTTAAATGGAAAGTGGATAGCAATCAATTCATTTCAAATCTCTCGTCTCGAAAGACTGTATTAGGTCAAGGATTTTAGGGAAGTTTCGAAAGTTTTCATACTGCTTCTGTCAATTTGTTAGACAGAGGAGAGAGAGAGAGCATTTCAAACATATCATCCAGCCAGAGAGATCATTTGCCTCATCGTCAGTACATCAAATATTAACCATTTATGCTAAAGAGCCTCTTCAAATGCTCGCTCTCCACGCCGAGGAATGCACACTTGTCCAAATGGATGACAAAAAATGCGGTGTAGGGCCAACCAGAGCTGCGACTGATATGGAAAAGGCATGAGAGAGTGTCAAGAATTAGACAAATCTTGATCCCACTTAGTCGTGGCTGATTCCTGGGTAAATTGGAGTGTGTATGACTAGCATGGCGTGACTGAAAGCCATTCATTTTCGTAACCGGAACAAGTGGATTGGCGCCCACCCACTATTTGTTTCACTTGAACGGCAAAAAAAAGAGTGGAGTGAGAGAGGAAATATGGGAGATTGAGTGAAATGATTAATTTGAATTTATAGCAGTTGGATTTTTTGCCCCATGAGAGGCTATTGAAAGGGTCTCGGGCATTTGCTCTCCAATTGATTAGACACGAGAATCATGCTTAGCAGGTGTGAAAAATAGGAAGACACCCACAAACCAATCACTGCCAGTGATGGGATTAAGTGGTGAAATTCCTCATGCACTTAATCTGTACTTAATTGTTTTTCAACACACTTCACGAGGTCTTGTTAATTTGGTGAATATATGGGCAAAAATTAATGGTAGTTTTCACCCATATTTGGAACATAGGAAACCACAGAAATCCAATAAGAGTGAATTCTCACCACACTATCAATTACTGTTCAATTAATTTCCAATCAATAAGCAGAATGATTGCAAAATTGATACGGTAGGTCATCGTGTTGGACGTAATTGCGAAATACCACTTGTCCTGCTTGAGGAATGAACATGCAATAAATTCATCTTCAAGGGTATGAGCGGCTCCAATGTTTCACCTGCACCGCCCAGAGTCGTGTTTTATTAAGTCTCGAGCCATCCAGCTCAAATAAATCACTTGTCTCAGGCATTGTGGGCAATTTTGCCAGTGTCTCCTGAAGCGGCTTCCGCCGAAAAATCAACCCCCGCATCGACACAACTTGGAGTGTAATTGTTAGGCAAATAAATGTCACTGCATCCCTCAGAGCTATAAATAATTTAAAACAGACATACACCGCAGACACGCACTAAACCGTCAATTTTCCAAGAAACCACAGACATTTTTTCCATGGAGTGGTGGCGTAAATTCCAACCATATTTTTCCGTCCCCACAAGCTTGAGCACAGGGAAAAGATTTGAATAGTTCTGCACTGTCTCATGGTGCGGGATGTTATAGCAGGTTCGTGTTTATTAAATAATGTAACTGGAAAATGAAACCACAAGTCTTCCATTCAATCTCTCCGCAGCAAATGTCTCATCCACCCTTAATCTTCACCCTCGTCCACTGAACTGTGGCTAAAATGAGTGAAAATTGCAGTAAATAAGAGAACTCTCCCATTTTCTGCAGCATTACCGAGTTAGTGAGTGTGCTCTTGGGTGGATGGCAAAAACTCAAGGGATGCCATGTGGGGGTGTTGTGGGGACTTTAAATTTTAAATTGAATCCCAGTGAACATCCCGAGGGTGTGACTGGAGAAATGACACAGCTGGACAGATTTTTAATCACGAATGAAGAAGGTGAAACTTCTCAAGCAGTCTGACGACAAGCGGCAAATGAAATTTATCCTTCCACTATTCACAATTTAGGCCTCGCTGTTTTACCACCACTTTTGCGAATAATTATGAAATATTGTAAAAGGAATTCTTAATCTTCCACCAAGATATTTCCGGAGTTTCATGGTGGTGGAAATATTTCATGTACTTTTTTTCACTTCCCGCCTTTCAAAAGACCTTCACTTGTGACAAAGAGTTGAAATTTAAATTTTATTCTTAATTCACATTTCAACTCTTTTCGCCGTCATGTTCATTTGTTTAGTGAGGAAGGAAAAACTCATTTAAAGTTTAACACCCTGACATCCACTTGCCACCCTCCACATCTCGAGGGGTTAAGACACATGGTTGCAGGTTTTTAATCTCTTCCGCACTCAATCTACCAACTTTTCCAGCTCACTTTCACATCACAAGAGACCCATTGAGGTGTGGGGAAAAAGTTGAGAGGAATTATGAACACAAAAACCATCTTCAGCTAAATGGGGACGATTTTTCCGCAGAAATTCCATACATTTTTAATGATTCCACGACGCCGCCGAGTTCTTTCCCCTGAGATTTCTGTTTTATCTATTTTATTGCTTTCACGAAGAAATTTTCCATACAATATTCACACACACATGGGCCTAATGAGTCTGGGAATTTTTCATTAGCTTCCCGATGGTGAACTTCAGTTCCATCGACACCCGCACTTCATCGAATAAGTTTTGGGCATTAAGCAA